ACCTAGGAATCCTCCCATTGATACCCCGTATTCCCTCACCCTGTTACTCTGCACACCATAGATTAATGAGGTTATCTGGTATTTACCCTTCTGTCACTGGCTTCACTTAACCTCTTATGCTCTAGTCCAGGTTGCTGGGAACTGCATGATTTCATCATTGCTCGCAGCTACATAACATTCATTATGTGTCTATAACATCCTTCCATGATCCACATCTCTGTCGCCATTGGAGATTTTTTTATTTTTAGCATCTAATCAATATTAACTCAATCTCCCATCCTTCTTCCCTCGCCCAATCATGGGGCTGCCAGCTTCTCATCACAGCTGGGCCTTTCATGGTGATGAACTTGGAAGCACCCATCTCCAGAACTCACCACAGGTTCACAGGTCATTGGGACCCAAGACACTTCCATCACCCGGGAAGTGACAAGGGGTTTTAGGAGTTCTGTGTCAGGACCAAATATGTTAATTTTGTAAGGTCTCTGGGGTCTGCCTAGGGTCTGAGCTTTGGAGACCTCCACACTGCCTTCCTCCCTCTCTCACAGGGCCAGGAGAATGCAGGGGGTGCCTCCCACCCCCACCCCAAGTCTCTAGACTCTGGAACTCCCTGTCCAAACACCCCAACTCCTCTGAGACCTGTGTGGGCCTCCAACCTGCTCCTTCCTCCCAGCTTCTTTGGGCCCAAAGGAGTCTGGTGAATAGACAGGGCAGCTGAGGTCAGAAAGAAGCAAGTTGGGAGCAAACAGGGGGTCCATGTTCCAGATGGAGCTCTGAAGGGTGCAGGATCATATTTGAACTTTGTAACAAGCTCATGACAGAGGTCTGGGAGCCTAGACAGGCTCACAGGGTAAGTTCCTTTACCAACTGGAGCCTGGCCCGTCTTCTTTCAGTCTGTTTATTTAGGGGCCACACCTGGCAGTGTTCAGGGGCTACTCCCAGCAAAGCTCAGGGGACCATATGGTAACAAAGATCGAATCCAAGTCTCCTGCATACGGCCTGTACTCAGCCTTTTAAGCAAATCTCAGGTCTGGTCAGTCATCTCTAAGAAGACAAGAGGGTACAGATCTTTGACCCCACTCCCAGTGGGCTGTGGGGAGTATCCTTGTCTTCTGTTGAGTGCCCACAAGGTGTGAGGGGAGAAAGGTAAGTCTGGCTGGCTTGGGCTTTACTCAAAGTTTTTTAGGCTCAGTGGAAGAAGTGGGCAGACAGCCCCTTACTGAGCTGTGGGCCCAGGCGCCAAGGGCCTCCTGTTACATATTAAGGCATGGTAAGAAGCCATGGTTTGGGGACTCCTGTCCTCTACAAATAGAGCTGATGTCACCAGATCCTAGGGAACCCTTTTCTCCCTGCAGTGATCGCACTCCATCCCCCTCCTCGCAATTCCCCTCTGCTCAGTGCTGTTTCCAGACTTGCTCCCCTCTCTCCTGAGCTCCTGTCTGCATGGATCTGCTCCGTACCCTCCACTCACAACTCGGCACCAAGAGCAACTTGGCATTTGCCACAGAGGATTCCAGAACCCTCTTGGGGCCAGTGTAGTAGCCAGTAACGGTGGGCTGTCTGGCAGTATGTTTTGAACTTGGGAGGGGGAGGCCCAGCTGCCTTTAAAAAAAATTGCCCATTCAAAGTGCCTTTCACAGTTGAAAGCTGTGTCCCTCGAGTGTGTGGGGGATATACCCAGGTATGTGGGTGAACCTTAGCAGGGGTATATGCCAGCATGCATGTGTGTACCTGTCTTTGTGCTGGGGACTTAGGAGTTGAGAACCTCAGGAGTTATTGCCCTGCCTGCGTTTCAGCTACCTACATGTACTCACATAGGTAGAATGTTCCAAAACCATGAGAGTATTCTGGGGTCACAGGCCCTAAGATCTCAGATCTCCAGCCCTGTGGGAGGGTGGTTGATGGGTTGAGACTGCACACAGGAAGATGTCACAGGGCCATGGGAGGTGAAGTTCTGGGCGTGGTGGGGCTATAACTGCTGGAAGTTCCAGCCTTAGTTTCTTGGAAGCTGCTGCAAGGCTGCTTCTGAGAGCACATCCTCCACTGACCTCAGATAAGTCTCTGCCCACTGGGCAGCTCTCTCCATTTCTGCTTAGTTATAGTGTCTTTCTTGGTTTTTCTGGGAAAGTTTTCCACTGGAAGCACAGGCTGGCCCACACCCAGAAGCACCTGGGCACTGCGGCCCAACACCACCTTCTCTCCCTTCACTGTGCCTCCCAGGCTGTGCATGAGGGGTGGACCCTCAGCCTGGGTGGCCCCCTTACCTATTTGTTGGCAAGTGCCATGCCAAACTTGGCGTTGAGAAAGCTCCGTTCAGAGTGACGCAGCCAGTTAATGGGCCCACATTGTCCTTTCCCTTCTTTGCAGAAAAGAACATTGTGTAGCCTCTGGCGATCAGAGGGCCAAGATCGAAGCACTGATGCCAGCCCTCTTCTTCCCCATTGTCTCATAGATCATTATTCCAGTCCTCCAGCTTAGGAAACCAGGGAGAGGTCTATTTCTCCTGGTTCCAAGCCTCCAAGGGCGAGTAAATGGCAGGTGGCCAGAGGAGGAGGATGGAGACAGGTCCAGGGTTTGAAGCCAAGCGACATCTTTACTAGTTTGAACAGGATTGGTACCTTAAACTTCCTAAGCCTCGGTTTCTCATCCGTGAAACAGGAATAGCGGTGATTGTCTCTCCCGGATGGCTTTGAGTGAGGGATTGCGTGAAAGCTTAGTGTGTGTCTATCACAATGGCTCTTTAACGGGACTTGCTGCTTTCACCTCTCCCAGCCTCCCCTCCACCTGCTGTGCTGGTCTCATTCACATTAGTCCCATCACCTGCTCCAGATCTGGGCTCGGCATGGGATGTGCGTAGATCTGGGCAGCAAGGAGTAAATAGGGGAGCAGAGAGGTTGGCAAGGGGTCACTTCAAAGAAGTTCAGCCTGGAGGAGGACTTACCTATGACTTAAGGTCAAGTGACTCAGCATGTTACAGAACACCCTCCCCCATCAGACTGTCTCCCAACTCATGTCCTATATCTGGGGTTAGAACATTTTGGAAGCTGCGGTGTGCTGGAAACAGCTTGAGGTGTGCTGGGGACGGCTCGAGGGCTCTGGCACCAGCAGACCTGGGTACAAATTCCAGTCCCCAGTGTCAGCCGGGGTGAGCTGGCAAGTCTCTGCATGTCTTCAAGCCCCAATTTCTTCCTCTGAAATATGGCTTCTGAGCAGGTTGCCTGGATCCCAGGCACCAGTGCTCAGGGTCCAGGGGTGTTCTCACTTTCCCGTGCTTTCCTTCCTGTTCCCACCCTACTGATCACCTGCCACAGAGAGACTAAGTCTCGGAGCATAAGGCCCAAGGCTTTATGCCTTCTCCTAAGAGGTCTGGGATTCCACAAGCCTCAGTTTTCACATCTGTCAAATGGAATGGTGCAACTCTGTGGCTGAGTAGGTAGATGAGACTGCACGGAAAAGGCCCAGGGCACAGCGGGAATGTTGCTGTCATGCAATTCTTCACTGGCTTCAGTTTCCACACTGCAGGGGTGGGGGTGGAGTGGAGGGGAGTTCCCAGAGTGTGGGTTTCCATGGGAACCATATCCGGGTCAAAGGCAGAGGCAAGAAGAGTGTGACTCTGACCAGACACCGCCCACGCATCAGATGAAAGGAACTGATCTTCCGCTCTGACCACACTGGTCACCTGCGCTGATGTTTCATGCGTCTCTGCGAGTCTCCTGGTAACTTTGCAGTTCATAAGCAGAGAATTCTCTAGAACCCAGAGATGAATCTAGTCACGCCAGGCTAGCTCCCAGGGATGCATGACCACCAGTTGCCAAGGGCCCCCTCTAGTTTCTGTGGCATTCCAGGTGGGCATCTCCCTTGCCCAGGGACTTGCATTTCCAGCCAATTAGCTGCAGGGTTTCCCTTCAGCTTGGAACTGGGTGAGCCCTGGCTGGGCGTCTTGGGCTGGATCCCAGTTCCTGTCACTCACCCGCGATGCAAATGGTAACGATTCCCTGCCAGGCCCTCACTTTTCCCTGGGGCTCCCCATCTCCGTGTTAAGGCTGTGAGTTGTAGTGAAGATTCTAGAAGAATCCCGGGAGACTATTTTGGAGATCACCTTACAATGATATCAGTAAGAGCAAAATCAGAAGCTCAGTTCTATAGGGTTTGAGGTGTGTTCTCATTCCGGATTCAGTTTTCTCACTTGTCAAAGGGAGAGTATGGGGGGTGGGTATGCCTGAGAATGAGGATCCCTGAAAGACAGCCCTCTGTGTGTAATGAATAGTACGCTGTATGCTGCCCTCCCATTGTTCATCGATTTGCTCGAGCAGGCCCAGTAACGTCTCCATTGTGAAACTTCTTGTTACTGTGTCTGGCATATTGAATACTCTGGGTAGCTTGCCAGACTCTCCAAGAGGGGCGGAGGAATCGAACCCGGCTTGGCCAGGCTGGCTGCGCGCAAGGCAAATGCCCTACCGCTGTGCTAAATTCTGCAGCATTTCTCCTTCCACCTCTCCACAGGTTATAGAGCTGTGAGCTTGTGTATCAGAGACTAGAGGATCCTCCAAAAAACAAATCTGTTCAGGACCTGGAGAGAGAGTGCAGCGGATAGGGTGCTTTCTTTGTACACTGCCAACCTGGGTTCGATTCCCAGCACCCTATAGGTCCCCCGGGCCCACCAGGAGTGATCCCTGAGCAAAGAGCCAGGATTAACCCCTTGAGCACCACTGGGTATGGCCCCTCAAAAAAAACCTTAACAAAACCCAGAACAAACCAAAAGAAGCAAATCTTTTTCAACTTAGATGAGCCAAGATATTCCTAATTCCATCGCAAACCCTCAGGACTGCAGCTGTGATCACAGCGGTAATTTCTCTTCTGACAGTGGGGATCATTACCCGGCACAACGATCTACCTCCTGCCACCCCCACTGAGGCACAGCAGGCATGCGAGTGTGGCTGGGTGGCCCTGGCAGATGCCGGTCAGGCTTCTGGGGACTCACACTCTGCCTGTGTGTCTTCCAGGGGCCTTCCTCATCCCGTACACCCTCTTCCTCATCATCGCGGGTATGCCTCTGTTCTACATGGAGCTGGCGCTGGGCCAGTACAACCGGGAGGGGGCAGCCACGGTGTGGAAGATCTGTCCATTCTTCAAAGGTAAAGTGTGTGTGCGGGAGTGGTGGGGGAGATGGGTCGGGGCGGGGGGAGGCGGGGAGAGACAATCAGATGTTTCAAGCAGTGGTTTTCATTTCTTTCATACCAGTAGATTAGCACCCGGCCACAGACTGAGGATAAAACCCTTCTGGGTTTAGGTTGGGGACGTTACTCAAAGGACTGTACAGGGCCTCGGGATTAAGCCCTTGCCTTGCATCGTGGCCAGGACAGCTTGGCCCAAGTAACACTGCATTGCTGGGCCTGAGTGTTGAACCATCTCACTCAACTGGCCAAATATCACTGGGAACCTCCACAAAAAAAAAGAAAAAAAATACAGGTTTACAGAGTCCTGGAGGCCCTTAGTCTCTGCCAGGGGGACAGGGAAATCCCCAACATTGCCGGGGCCAGCAGCCCCTTTGAACTCTCCTGAGGAATGCTGTTCTATTGCCGAGTATTGCCAGGAGTGGCACTCGGGCCCACTGTGTACCACTCAGGAGGCCCCCAAAATATTATTATTATTATTATTATTATTAGCATATCGAATACTCTCGGTAGCTTGCCGGGCTCTCCGAGAGGGGCGGAGGAATTGAACTCGGGTCGGCCATGTTGGCCGCGTGTAAGGCGAACGCCCTACCCGCTGTGCTATCGCTCCAGCCCTGAGGCCCTCCCGTTGATCGTCAATTTGCTCGAGCGGGCCCAGTAACGTCTCCACTGGAGACTTTGTTGTTACTGTGTTTGGCATATCGAATACTCTTGGTAGCTTGCCGGGCTCTCCGAGAGGGGCGGAGGAATCAAACTCGGGTCGGCCATGTTGGCCGCTTGTAAGGCGAACGATGCTAGACACAGTAACAACAAAGTCTCCAATGGAGACGTTACTGGGCCCGCTCGAGCAAATCGATGAACAACGGGAGGGCCTTTACCTTTACCTATTATTATTATTATTATTATTATTATTATTATTATTGCTTTTTGGGTCACACCCGGCGATGCAGAGGGGTTACTCCTGGCTCTGCACTCAGGAATTACTCCTGGTGGTGCTCAGAGGACCATGTTGGGAATCAAACCTGGGTCAGCCGCTTACAAGGCAAAAGCCCTACCAGATGCGCTATCGCTCCAGCCTCCCAAGTTATTTTTTAATGAGAGACTTTTGTGTTGTCTCTGGGGAATCTGCTACAAAGGAGAGTTCTGAGGGACCAGATTGCTAGGACAGGAGATGTGATGCTCACCAGGCAGCAACCGCTGAGGCTGCAAGAGGCTGATTCGCATCCGTGACACCACATACAGTTTCCCCGAGTGCAGCCAGGTGTCCTTCCTGAGTACAGAGCCAGGGGCAGCCCCTGAGCAGCCCTGGGGGTGGCTCCCAATTCCACGAAATAAAATAAAACTGTATCCTGTTTCCAAAAAAGCAAAAAAGATGGGGGGTGCGGTAGACCAGCTTCCTCGTGGTGTTCGAAGGTATTTGTAGGATCAGGTGTGCTCAGTGTTCACCAACAGCTGAGGCTCAAGTAGAAAGCATGTGTCTAGCACCCATGAGTCACCAAGTTTGATTCTGGGCACTGCTAGGAGAGAATTTGTGCTGCCCCCCCCCCAAATCCTTGCTCAACACTCTGGGTTGGCCCCTTTCAAAATAAAGAAACAAGACTAGCAATTGTTTGGGCCCGAGAGATAGTACCAGGGGGAGGGACTTATCTTGCATGCAGCCAATTCAAGTTCGATCCCCGGCACCACATCCCTTGAAACCATCAGGAGGGATCCCTGAGCACAGAGCCAGGAGTAAGTTCTGAACACTGCTGGGTGTGGCCCTTAAACACGCAAAAAACAAACAAAATTCAGCTCCCCAGGAAGCATCTGGTGTGTCAGGAACAGCTGCAGCCTGAAAGGGTGGTCTCTTGGGCTCCAGTCCAAGCTCTACTGCCTGAGGAAGGAGTGGGCATTCTCCCTCGGGCCAGTACTTGGAAGTACAGGTCAGGAGCTCCCAGCTTTCATTCCCCAGCATATAGAGGGAAAATGGAGCCCAGCCAGAAAGCTGCCTCGATCCTGAGCACAACAGTACTCACTCCTCACAGCTCAGCAACAAAAAGAGACTGCTTCCCCATGGAACTCGGGGCATAGCGGGACAAAGTGACCATGGCAACCACTGCTTCCACCCCACTGCAGCTGTGAGAAGGGTGTGGGGTAAGAATGAGTGTCTCCGAGTACCAGTCAGAGGACTGGGAACTCCCACGAGACTCCTCTCAGCTGGCCCTTGCTCCCTGAACACTTCCTGTGTGCTCCGTCTTAGAGCAGAAACAAGCTGGTCCCAGGGCTTCTAAGACATGTGTGCTAGTAGAAATTTTTGCTTTACTTTCCAGAGGTCCCGTTTAAAGCAGTTTTCATCCAGAAAAAAGAAAGTAGGGCTTCTTACTTTACTTTTTTTCTTCTTACTTAGTGATAAGAGCCAGGGCCATCTGGAGCCAGGTATTTGACTATTAGGCGGATACTTTCACAATGTGGTTTTGGGGTTGTTTTGCTCTGAGTCACACTCAGCTGTGCTCAAGGATTACTCCTGGTTATAAGCTCAGGGATCCCTCCTGGTAGTTCTCAGGGGACCATCTCAGGTACCAGGGATCAAACCTGGATCAGCTGTGTACAAGGAAAACTCCCTACCTGCTGTACCATCACGCCAGGCTCCAACTTTCTCAGTGTTTCTCCATCTCAGCTCTGATTTCTTTGTTAGACTCAACCTCAGGCACTTTCTAGTCAGCTCCTAGCAGTTGTGACCATCAGTAACAATATGATTATATCCTACGAGCCTTGTCAATGCAAAACAATAGCACTCTGTCTAGCTTCATCTTTCAGTAAAGGTGCCAGAAAAACAGTGTCCTGGGTTTTTATTTCCATGATCATGTCCACCTCCCAGCCAATGACTGGCTGTGGGGAAACAGAATGTGGCCTGGCCTGATCCAGGCCATATGCTTATGCCTCCATCAAGGAAGTAGAAGATAAGCTGCCCCCAGACCTCACCGACCAAGAATTGTTCTTGCTCCATTAACACAGGGCCGAGCAAACTAGAGCTACATCTAGTGGAGGCCACAGGCATAGACCTTGCCCAAAGAGGCTCCCCATGCATTAGGCAGAGGAGTTTGCACCAGAGGACCCAGGGCCCAACTGGGGTACTACTTTGGGGTTCTCCAGAAATAGGTACCGACAGTGATATCAGAGTAAGGAATTCTTTTGGAGGTGATGCCAGGAAGTGCCAGGGTGGGGAGACAAGCTCATAAGCCAGTACCTCTATGGGCAAGGAGTCCATTCCACCAGAGAGTGTCTGCATACCATATCATCCTGCCCGACGGGGACTGGGGTGCTCAGAACTGGTGCCTGATCCAGCTTTTCCTTGCCGGAAGAGGGTGCTGGTCTTCCTGCAGGGCAAGTTGGCAATCTCTGGCCTTATCACCCTGGAGGGACTCAGTCCTGGCAGCAAATGGGCAGAGGGGCTCCCTGTGAGGGACAGGCCCAAAATGGACCACCACCAGAATTAATTTAGCTTAGCTTAATAGGAACCTGCATTGCAAAATAACTGGTTTTTCTGCCCCTGAGCAAGGAATTCAGATACAGGTACTCGAAGGGTGGGGGTCAGACCAGATAACCGGATGTCTCTCATAACACCCATGTTGCAAGACCCAGGACTGCCCTAAAAACCAGGACGTTCCCTCCCATAGCAAAGAGGTGGGGTGCCTCAGGAGCACATAACATGAAGGTGTTTGCTACAGAGCAAGGGAGGTAGAGGGTCTGTTGTTCTGGTTGGAAGCAGCTCTTCAGGGAACCTGGGGATCCGGGCTTGAGACAGCCAGTCCTGAGCCCATTCTGTGCCGGCCCCAGGCGTCGGCTATGCCGTGATCCTCATCGCCATCTACGTGGGCTTCTATTACAATGTCATCATCGCCTGGTCTCTCTACTACCTCTTCTCCTCCTTCACCTTCAACCTGCCTTGGACTGACTGCGGCCATGCCTGGAACAGCCCCAACTGCACCGACCCCAAGCTCCTCAATGCCTCCGTGCTGGGCAACCACACGAAGTACTCCAAGTACAAGTTCACTCCGGCTGCCGAGTTTTACGAGTAAGTCACCCCCGGTGTTCGCAGAAACAAGGGTCAGGCAGAGCCTGAGCCCAAGTCCCAACTGTAATGTTCTGTTGAGCAGCCTGCCCAGACCTAACCTGGGGCTAGGAATGGAGGATTCAGGCAATCGGGGAAGTCATGCAGGTGCCGGAGCATAAGGCGCAGGGCCCTGGCAAACAAGTAAGAAAGCAAGAATGGGACTGGAGCAATAGCGCAGCGGGTAGGGCGTTTGCCTTGCACGCGGCCAGCCCGGGTTCAATTCCCAGCATCCCATATGGTCCCCTGAGCACCGCCAGGAGAAATTCCTGAGTGCATGAACAGCCAGGAGTAACCCCTGTGCATCGTTGGGTGTGACCCAAAAAGAAAAAAAAAGCGAGAACAAGGGCTGGAGTGATAGTACAGTGGGGAGGGTATTTGCTTTGCACGAGGCCAACCTGGATTCAATTCCCAGCATCTCATATGGTCCCCCAAGCACCTCCAGGAGTAATTCCTGAGTGTAGAGTCAGGGGTAACCCCTGAGCATCACTGGTCATGGCCCAAAAAAAAAAAAAACAAAAAAAAAAGAAGAAAAAGAAAGAAAAAGGGAAAAAAAGAAAGCAAGAACAATTTACAAGGGGTAGTACCACATTTTCAGGAGGAATAGAATATCCCACATTTTCAGGAATGTAAGAAGCTGAACTTGGGTATGTTCAAGTTCAAGGGGGGAAGAGGTTGGGGTGTGGAAAGGCAAGGAATTTTAGCACAGATGACCTGGGATGAGAGGAGAGAGATGTTGAGCTGATAAAGTCAACCAGAGGCGGAGCTAAGGGCTTACTGGTGGAGCTGAAACCAAATGGGTCTGATCGCACAGCAGTTGTTGGGCCCACCCCATGGCTGTCACTCTGTGGATTTGGGGGGAAAAGGAGTCAGGAATTGTAAGTAAAATGGAAGGGGATACAGGTCAACTGAGGGCAGCACAGGAAGACTTTAGGCCACAGGTGGGAAGGTGAGCATTGATGCATGGTGGCAGAGAGAACGTGCTTCAAAAGATATATTTATGGTGGAACTTTTTCAAAAATATTATTATTTTAATCACTGTGAGAATCAGTCACAAAGTTGCTCATGATTGGGTTTCAGTCATACAATCTTCCAACACCTGTCCCTTCACCAGTGTATATTTCCCACCACCAATGTCCCCAGTCACCTGCCACCACCCCATCCCCTACCACCTGCCCCAGCCTACCTCTACTCTATGTCAGGTCCTCTGTCTCTCTATTTCTCTCTCTCAATCTCTCTCTATCTCTTTCTCTCTCCATTATGGTTTCCAATACAGGTACTGACAAGTTATCACATCCCTTTACCCTACTCTCAGCACTAAATTCTTGTCCAGTGTGGTCATTTCCAACTATCATTGTCAGAGTTCTTACTTTGGACAAAATGGCAGGCTACTGAATGTAACCTGCACACGCGGCAGAGTCTGGCAAACTCCCCGTGGTGTACCCAATATGCTAAGTACCAGTAACAATGATGGGGCTCATTCTCCTAACCCTGAAAGAGCCTTGAATATGGCACTTTTTAAAAAATCTCAGGGCTAGGACGAAGGAGATGTTACTGGGGCCTGCTCGAGGCAATCGACGAACAACAGGATGGTTGTGATCGTGATCGTGATTGTCAGAGTGGTCCCTTCTCTCTCCCAACCAAACCCCTCTACTTATGGAAACCACTTAGAGGCTGCAATGCTGCATTAGGAGGATATCTGGGTGGCTTCCATGGTTTCACTAAGACTCACTGCATCTACCTAACCTCAGTGCAGGGACTGGAGTCGGGGCAAGAGCCATTACTGCCTGCTAACTCGTCTGTTCAGACTGGGACTTGGCCATTTCCTGCTGAGGTCTCTCTGCCGGTGAGAGTCCTCTGGGGATTAACCATCACGGCTCCTTCCTGTTCTCCCATTGTGGGGATTTCAGTGATCTTCTCTTGAGTGTCATAGTCTTGAGACTACTGACAAAGCCTGGTCAGTGTGTCTGTACAGCAGACCTCAGAGGCGTTAGTTTTATCCTGCTTACACATTGCAGATCAAGAATCTGGCAGTGATGAGGTGGCACCCATGGTCCTGCCATTCTCACCGGGATATGATGCTGTCTTGTTCCTGGGCCTGCGACACTCGATCCCTTGGCTCAGGTGTGTCGGCAGTTCTTCCCGCGGAGAGGTCACATTGTTCTCTTTGTAATTAGTATCTTCTTAGCAGAGGGGTTCTTCCTTGAGATTATGGAAATATCTCCCTTCTCACTCTATCTCATCCTACTTTGGGGTAACAGCCTTATGCCCTTTGGTGATTCTTGCCAGTCAAGATGATCACTCTAGTGTTTGTGTAATTGTGATTTCTATCCCACCATCCCTCTGACCAACAGGAACAAGAGTCCCTTCTTCCCTAATTGTTCACTCACTCACTCACTCACTCACTCACTCACTCACTCACTCACTCACTCCTTTTGGTGGGACTCAGACATGGGCATTTGGTTTGTCCTGTGATTTGAGACCAGCAGCGGCCTGATTTATGTTGCAGCCCCTTGCAGCCCATCAGGCTCTACTCCATTTTCTTAGGAAACCATGACTGTGGAACTACATGAGTGGGGCCTGGGGCCTCTCGCTGTAGTAGCAGTAGTAGGGGAAGGTGAAAGAGAAGGCCTTGAACCCAAGACCTTGAGCACGCAAGGCTATGGCCACCACTTCACCACATCCCCAGCCCTTTTGCATCTCAAAGTGAATGATGGTCTGTTTGTTTCCAGTCTGTTGGTGGTGGTCTTCTCAGAATGGAGCATCTCTGGTCTTTCTCCCCCAGGTCCCCTGTGAGACTCATTGTAGCATCCCATACCCCTGTCCCAGTCTTAGCAGATAAATAGTTCTGGGTTAACCTGTGAACCATAGGAAGCGGGTACACTATCCTGTAGAACACTGCAGAGGAAGCCTGGGCAATGGAGCACAGAGCTAGAGCATGGGCTTAGCACGTAGGAGTCCTGGATTCAATCCCGGAGCACTGATTTGGGAGCAAACCCCCGGCACACTGAGTGTGGTGTGACCCCAGACAGGGAGGAAGTAACTTTGGGCTGGTGGGCCCTGTGTCTCTGTTGCATGGTCGCTTTTTTTTTTAATTTTACCTTAACACACACACACACACACACACAGACTGTTAAATTGTTGTGCCCAAGTTTCAAATCCCCAATTGAGAGACCAAGTTTCACACATGATAATGCAAAAGCAAAGGAACTTTATTACTAGCCCAAGCCAGCGCTAGCTCAAGCTAGGGCCCAAGTCTCATGCAACACAGTGGAGTCTTGACAAGGACCCTGACTCCAAGTCACAAGCAGTTTATATAGAATTCAGAGTTAAGAAGCAATTTATATAAGGATCTATTTTTAGCATCAGCAATTAGGCAGTGATTAGCAACAGTTTCTAAGGAGGGTTCAGTGACCCTTCGTGACCGGCCAGACCCAGCTGCTCAATTTCTTCACAAAATCACAAATCACAAATCATCCTGTTATTCGTCGATTGCCCCGAGCAGGTCCCAGTAATGTCTCCTTCATCCTAGCCCTGAGATTATATTCAAGGCTCTTTAGGAGAATGAGATCCATCATTGTTACTGGTATTTGGCATATTGGGTATGCCACGGGGAGTTTGCCAGACTCTGCCGTGTGGGCAGGTTACATTCGGTAGCCTGCAGTTTGTCCAAAGTAGGAATGAGATAATAAGATGTTATAATAAGATGTCGCGTGGCCGCGAATGCGGCCACGCGGTTCCGGGAGCTGGTTTTTATAGTCTCTGAGTCTTGGCCGTTGATGGGATTACACGGCGCCAGGAGGCCAGTTGGTGGGTGTGACCCCCACCTACTGGAATTTGGAGGACCTGGGTGGAGGATGCTCGACCCAAATCCGAGTAGGCTTGGAGATCTCGGCCCCGGAACCCGTGTGACTTTGTCCCTCTGCCAGTACCTTCATGTGTGTGGAGAGTGGTCTCAGCATGGTGGTGGCTGGTCCTGGAGGTCTTTGGCTGCTGGAGCCCTGGTCAGGGCGGGGAGGAAAGCTCAACCTGCTCCCCTCCAAGGGGTCCCGGCGAGGACAGTCAGCCCAATTTCTTATCTTGGCAAATTACTCAACTGGGAGTTTACCAGAAACTGCAAGTCCTGCTCCAGGGAAACAGAGACTGAGGCCTAGTTGAGACTTAATGTTAGCTTCAGCTTGTCATGGCGTTAGTTTCGCCCTCAGAATCTCACAAGCGTACCCAAACAGGTCACAACCCAGATTTGGCTGGGCTAGGTGGGAGAATTTGAAGACCATGAGTCAGCTTTCCCAGTGCCCAAAACACCCTCCATCTGTCAGGTTCTGTGCATGAGGACACACCAGGTGAGAGAGAGAGAGAGACAGGCCAGTAGGAAGAGGAACTGACTGTCACACTGTCTCTCATTTTAATTATCCCCTTGTTCATCCCCTGTGCCCGGTGGCTCCTACATAAGACAGTGCAGCTCTGAAGAATGAGAAAAGACAAAACCCCCAACTCCAAAGCTGTGGGTGGATCTCCTTCTGCCCCAAGCATTCCCTAACCCAGGGTCTATGGAGGAGTTGGATAAGCCAGAAATTAGGACCACTTGCACCTGCTGTTTCAATGCAATGGGGCCGGGGAGATTCCGTTCTCTTCCAAGTGGCTTAGAAACATGAGTTTCCTCTTCAGACTTGGGAACTAGAGGGCCAAGGGTCCAGGGCCCAGGAACTATCCTCAAAGGGCCACCGTTCACATGACACCGAGGTTCCTGGCTTGCATGCTCACTGCCACCACCTCCGCTTCCTCTAGACTCCCAGCAGGTATGTAGAGTTTCCTGTGTTTGTAGGGTTTTATTTTTTGGGGGGGTAGGAAGGATCCCCAGTTGTCTTCCAGTTCTAACTGCATCAGTAGCCCACTTCCATTCCTCCCCTCCAAGGTACTGAGTTGATGCTGTTAGGTTTTGTTGTTGTTTGTTTGTTTGTTTG